ATTGAATAGAGTTTAAATGTTTAACAGGTGTAGCTCGAGAATCGAGGTAATACTTTACTACTATATGCATGTTTTATGGTACATGTTGGTATTGATAAGTGTATGAATGAATATGTTTTGTCTCATATGTATAGTTAATTATTTCTAAACTCAATTTGAATGCGATAAAAACTAACTGAATAAAAATCGGATGGCTCGTATAAGAAATTATAAGATTTTTAAGGAACAATTCCAAGTTCATTGATTAACTAGTGAAGCGTTTAACCTCATAACCCTTAAAATTTGATTACTCTTGTTAAAAATTAAAACACTAGAATACCTAGCTGAGAAATTATAGAATTACCCTTGAGAGGTAAAAATAGCCCGAATTGAACATGATTTCTGATTTAATCCAATAAATTACTGATTTAACTGTTAAGTTCCTATTTTTTAGAAGATTTCTGATAAATAGTTCATAACCTCTGAGAAGCCACTAGAACCAAAATTTTTGATTTATGACCAAAATACTCTTGAAGTGTGAAATAACCTAAAATACCCCATGCCCTTTAATGAATAAATACCCTTAAGCTCTGGAATGAATAAATCTACCTTGAATACCAGAATGTTTTAAACACCTCATGACTTGGATTAAGCAAATGCCTTTGGATAACTTCTGAAGATACTGGTGAAACTTTAAATACTGTAACGTCCCTGAGGTTTTTAGAGTAGGACCTAAGTAGGTCGATCACCCCTAATACTATTACAATATGGGAAATAAATAAATACTTCTTAAATACATGTTTGTCTCCTCATGATCCGTCCAAAGATGGTTCTGAAAGTGATCAATTCGATTCTGCAGTACAACTAGTTTTAAGAAATAAATATTCGTGAAGTTTATCTACCTACATAATTGATAAGTGTCGCCTTTGTTGGGAATTGTACAGTGCGATTGGAATTCTGTAAATCGTTGCATACTCTTATTAAATGGATTTATCAAATTTCTCAGGAATTAAATGACAAAAATGGTCTTATAAGCCTTACTGATGGAACCACTTTGAGAATGTCTTAATCCTAAATAAATTTGATGCAATAATTCCTGAATATCTTGTTGATATATCTGAATATTGTATGATCTTGATAAATCACTTCCCAAATGACTGATGAATCCATTAGCTGTCAAACTCCATTTTTATAGGGATCTCGTTCTGAAATTTTATTAGTTTGTAGAAATTTCATGGCTCCCTACTTGGTAAATACCAAATACCCACGGAAAATAATTAAATCCTCTAGTGTGTTCCCAATGTGTTATATGATTGTTTTATACGTTCTGAAATATGATTCATTGAAGTTACTGAATTACTGAATATTTTAATTGTTCAATATTCTGGCTTACTGATGTATTGATTTACTATTTATGAACTATGACTATATGATATGTGGTATATGGTTACTTGTTTTCACTTGAAAATATAATTGTGCATGATTTATGTATCATGGAAATTACTGGATTTTTGTATGAACCGATTTATTGGGACATTGTCTGGGCAGGATTATGAAGTATGGAGGTTCAATTCTGATCAAGCTGATAAATCCTTACGAACCTAAGGTGGCGCTTGGGTAGGCTCTGAGGCCCCAAGGTATTTCCTTGGCTAGGCTCTAAGTCCCCAAGTATTCCCTTGGGTAGGCTCTTAGGCCCCAAGGTACACTATTGGGTAGGCTCTGAGGCTCTAAGATAATCCCTTAGGTTGGTTCATAAGCCAATTAGGATAGGGTAAGTCCTTATGGATGCAGTTATAGGGAACTGCATATCGGTGTTCGGTTGGAGGGTATTACAGTGGTTCTAAAATATGTTTTAAACTACTAATGTTTTTAAAGGATTTGTACACATTTTTCTATTTTGTTGGAACACACCTGATTCAATCTTCTGAATTTGTCTCTCTGGATACTTCATTCAGACCGTAATTTCATGTTTGTAACTGAAGACTCAGCTAATGGAATATGAAATCACCGCTAGAATCTGATGATGCCTGTCCTGCTAAGGGAAGCTATGGTTTACCATATACCTGATGACCTATTACATTCATCTAGTAGTTCTGTATTACTGAGCTTTCTAAATCTCACTATGTACTTACCATTTCAGGTTAAAAGAAATGTCATTGTGTTGCTTTCGACATCAGTCTTGGGAGTTCCTTTGGCGTTTCTTGTGGAGTACGGTGTACGTGTAATTAGGGGCTTGTATGTCATAGTTGTTTTTATATTGGTGTCTAAACTAATTTTAATATTGTATATATTTAACCTATGTTTTCAATATATGAATGATTTATGAACTTGTATTTTTATTTATAATTGTAGTACGGTGTCAAATAATCTAATAAAATTTCAAATTTCTCTGAATTTTCAATATGGGTCATTTTGGTGGTCATAATGTGACACATCGAATCAGATCAGTTAACTCGTATCGATCTAAGGGTGTTACAAATTATATTAGAGGTGAGTGAAAAATCCACAAAATAATTCTCAAAATGAAATAGTTGAACCTCTTCATTCGACTTAAGAACTAAAACCTTGTCCTCCTCCCTTTTAGGGTTCAAATCCACACCATATCATCCTCTACTACCGTAAAAGGAAAACACAAAGACAATCACTCAACAAAACACGAGATACAACCTCAAAACCCTAAAAAAAACAAATGTGCTACAAAAAATATATATATGTCATAAAGGCTAATAAGTTGGATATTTGCATAATTTTTTTTATATATAAATTCATATATTTTAGCATTTTAATGTATCTCAAAGTCTTTGTTTCGACAAGTATTTGATATTTCAGGTATTTAACCGGCTAAAGGATAATTCATGCATAAAACTGGAATTTTAACTAAATTTGTGTACTTTGGAATTTTGACAAGCCCCGATAATAATTTAAGAAAGAAGAATTCTATTCAAACTACAATTCTCTCTTTATCTTGTATTTAGATTAGGCTTAGACTTTGAGTTTTATTTTAATGTAATGTACTCTTTTTCCATATTGATGTAAATGACTTCCATTATAAATAGTTTCATGAGTGAAAGACACAAAACAATCAATCTTTCTTCTTAGTGGATATCCTCTTTTTTCTTGTTAAGATTTTTCAAAGTTACTAATACAAGTTCTTAGTAAGATCTTTTGTTCTTCATCTTATTTATATATTTTAAAGTATGTTTATATTTCTCGGGCTTACTTAAAAAGTATATATTAATTTATAAGATCAGCATGATGTTTTTATGTTTATTCATCTCTATATATAACAAACAATCAAGACATTATTGATGCACGTAGCAAGTAATCTACAAAAGATTCATCTTCTGTGAAGATTAATGATATAAGTTTAGGATTAATACATTATGTTTTATACCTTGACTATAATTTACCTTCATATCAAAAGTTTTTCCCTTTTAATTACTTTCCTTTCTTTTTTAATTCTACAAAAAGATAAACTTTCTGTTTTTTATTTTTATTTATTTATTAATAAAATTAATCTCTTATTACTCTCCATGAATTCGACCACACTTATCATTGCTATAAATAATTTAAAATGAATTTTATTTTTGACGAATTCAAAATCGTATCAAAGACATACAGAAAACATATTACAAAGTAGAGTGTTTTAGTAAAGAGAAAATAATCTAAATGACCGAAAATGCCTTATAATATACGATTTTAACTATTTTTTTTTGAATTTGTCAAAATGACCAACAAAATCGTAACGCGATCTCTAATTTTTCAACTCAGTTTCCAAATTCGCAACGCGATTTTGAAAAATGTGTTGCGATAGTTAAAATGTGTTGCAATAATGAAAAATCCAAAATAAGTTTACATTTTAACTATTCCAAATTCACGTGGAGTTTGAAACAATAAAGAATGTGTTGCGATAGTGTAAAAGATTCTCAAGCCATTTGTAAGATCTTAGTTGGAAACAATAAAGAATGTGTTGTGATACTGTAAAAGATTCCCAAGTATTTTCAATACTCAATCCCACATAGTATTGAAAATACTATTGAGAATGAGTATTTAAGGCTTGGATTTCTCACTTCCTTGTTGAGTGGAAGAGAAAAAGGGGGACTCTCGCGCACTGCCGCCGCCGCCGCCGTCCCGTCTCGGGCCTGGTCGTGATCGTGGTCGTGGTCGTGGTAATATGTGTCTTCGACACGTCCGCGCGAATATTATCTTTTAAGAAAAAATTCTTAAGAAATAAATACAATATCACCCGTCGTTGCGATTTTGAAAAATCAAAAAAATTATAAAGCATTTTCGGTCATTCATGACTTGATATCCTAATTACATAAATATTACATAAATATGTTTTACATGAAAGACACAATATTTTGCTATTTACAAATTTCACGCCACCTTCCGTCCCCATCACAAATTACCCTTTCCCAAGGGAGAGAACAGGGATCCTCTTTTAACAGAAGTTTGATAGCAATAAAGCGAAAGCTACTTGGACCAAATGATACTACGTACCATAATCACTTGCACGTAATGCTCGACCAAATGATAATATCCCAACACTAGAAATTATACACCCAGAGATGGCAATTAGTCGGATGGGATACAATTTTGTTTGTTTCGACTCCAATTTTAATGTATTAAATTTTTATTTTAAAATTTTTAAAAAATCATAAATATATTAATAAAGAATAATTAAAATTTAATAAAAAATTGTTTGAAAAGGATTTGTTTTTATAAACTCAAATCAGATCATACTCATCCCGTGTATTTTTTTTCTTTCTGCTTTAGCTATAAATTTTCACGGACCTGAAACTGTGGTCCAACAAAGTAACATGGGTTCCGCAAAAGAGGAGACATTGGCAAGCAAAAGCAATGACCTTTGCAAAGAATGCCTAAAAATCCTGCTTATTAAGCGGCTGAACTTTGCAAATCCAACGCAAAGATAACGACCCTCAATCTACTCTCGAGCTTGATAAATATTATTCACACCCTTTCACTTCACCTCCCACTCTAAGCTTTATCCATTTTTCTATTCTCTATAAAAACCCACCCTTCAACCTTCCTTTCTTGCTTACCAAACAATGGCTCTTCTTTTTTGCATTATCTTCGCCGCTTGCTTCTTCTTTACAGCTCCATTTGTCCACTGCTCTCGAAGCTTGCTGCAAATTTCCCGCCCCACGACGGTTCTCGACGTTTCTGAAGCTCTTGAGAAGACCAGAAATGTACTCTCATTTACCCCAGTAGGCCAAAGCCTCTCAGCTTCACCTTCACCTACGTCTTTCCTCTCCCTTCATATTCACCCCAGAGCTTCTATTCGTAAATCCTCCCACCCTGATTACAAATCATTGACTTTATCCCGACTCGAGCGGGACTCTGCTCGAGTCACCTCGCTCGCCACTCGGTTGGATCTGTCTGTCAGCGGAATTTCAAAGCCGGATCTCAAGCCGTTTAATAAGGCCTCGGAATTTGGAGCAGAGGAACTAGGAAGTCCTATTGTGTCGGGTTCGAGTCAAGGAAGCGGTGAGTACTTCTCTCGGGTTGGAATCGGGAAACCACCGAGTCAAGTTTACATGGTGCTCGACACGGGCAGTGACGTCAACTGGGTACAATGCGCACCCTGCGCCGATTGTTACCAACAATCTGACCCCATTTTCGACCCATCTTTATCATCTTCTTACTCGCCGCTGAATTGCGAAACGCAACAATGCAAGTACCTTGACGATTCCGAATGTCGAAACGATCGGACTTGCGCCTACGAGGTTTCCTACGGCGACGGCTCTTACACAGTGGGTGACTTTGTCACTGAAACCATCACCCTCGGCTCGGATTCTGTCAATAATGTAGCAATCGGTTGTGGCCATAACAACGAAGGCTTGTTTGTCGGGGCGGGTGGCTTGCTTGGTCTCGGCGGCGGGCCGCTTTCCTTTTCCTCCCAGCTTAATGCGAGTACTTTCTCCTATTGTCTCGTGGATCGTGACTCTGACTCAGCTTCCACTCTCGAGTTCGACTATGCTCTCCCTCCTAACGCCATTACAGCTCCATTACTCCGTAACAAACAGCTAGACACGTTTTACTATCTCGGTTTAACCGGTATCAGTGTGGGTGGCGAATTGCTTCCGATTCCCGAGTCAGTTTTCCAAATAGACGAGTCAGGTAACGGTGGGATTATCATCGACTCGGGGACCGCCGTAACTCGGTTACAGAGCGATACATACAACGTTCTCCGTGACGCATTCGTTAAAGGTACAAAGAACTTGCCGTCAGCTGACACCGTGGCATTGTTTGACACGTGTTACAATTTGTCTTCCACGAGTAGCGTGGATGTCCCAACGTTGTCGTTTCACTTCCCCGAAGCTAAAGTTCTACCGTTACCGGCTAAGAATTACATGATACCGGTTGATTCCGTTGGAACCTTCTGTTTCGCGTTCGCGCCAACGTCCTCGACGTTGTCAATCATTGGGAACGTGCAGCAGCAGGGGACGCGTGTCGGTTTCGATCTCGGCAACTCCCACGTAGGATTCGTGCCCAACAAATGTTAGAAAAATTATTATTTTTTACTATCTGTAATTTATTTACGGTTTTCGCGTTGGTAAAAGATAAATACCAGTGGGCCCATTTCAATTTCTCATGACAGGCAAACGGCGATGTTATCGATGTCGGCAGTAGTGGCATGTATAGTAAATTAATTGAATGCATGAGGAGAAGAGTGTCAAAACACAGAGACTTGATAGATTTGTTTATATGACCGTTACATAGTTGTTTTTATTAAAAAAAGATTCGCTTCGGTTTATCAAACATATAATTTATTATTGTGTTAGTGCTCACGTTGTAGAGGATGTTTTTTTTTTATAATATAGGACTTTAGTAGGCCAGGTTAAAAAATTCGATCTTATAAGGTAATTTTCGGAAGAGTTCGAAGAACCCACCACTCTGTCTCCCGTTTTTTTTAGGATTCCAATCAATTAAGTCGAATTACCTAATTTTCGTTAATCGATTTTTCCCTTTTGATAATTGAATCAAAACTTTTTCAATAATTTTTATTCAAACTAAATAAAGTTTGATTAATTCGTTCGGTTAACCAAATTAATTGAAATCTTTTTGTAATTTCTTTTTGTTAGATTAATTTGAATTTATTAGAGGTATTTTTTTCTTTATTTATGTTAAAATTTGATTGAATATTGATAGTTTAATAGGTTAATTAATTGATTTAGAACTAGATTGACCACTAATTGAACTTTAAAAAAAATTATTGAATGTTAACCCAATTAATATCAAATTAACTGATCGATTAATCGAATTAAATTTTGACTTAGTCCATTAATTCGATCAAAACCGAATAATTAATACCTCTAGTTAAGCCAACTTGTTCATAAGATATATTAGAGTACTAACGTTTATGTTTTGAAAATTTATATTAAAATTATAAAACATTGTCTGTTTAAAATTATTTGAATTTTATTTTTTCAAACTAATAATAAACATTAACTTTATTAAATAAAATAAAAAATAGCTTCAGATTATAGAAAGTGCTTATAAAAAAGGTAAATTAAACACGTAAGTTAGATATTTATTCTAAAACCATATAAGTGTATAACTAATCATCCAAGAGTAACAAATAATTAAAAATTTAATGAAAATAATCTGGACAAAAAATAGATACAGACAAATATTATTAGCAACGTACGAATGATAAACATTATCGACACTAACATTAAAAACACATATAACAATAATAGTTAGTTGACAAATTAACATTATTACAAATCATTCACAACTATGTTCGGAGATTATGAACGTCAATCAATATCCAACTCAAGAGTCTAAAGTAGAGATAAATCAACAAAATAACAAAATAAACATCATCTGAATTTAGAGAGGCAGCATCAAATCCAACAACGAGAAAATAAAATAAAACGTGTTACAAGAGTAGACAAAAAATGTATTATAAAAATAAATAAAATCATCCACAATCTTCACACGAAAAGAGAAAGATTGACTACACAAAACAATATAACTCGAGTTATAAGAGAATTAAAAAAAAAAGCAACGATCAGTAATCAACTAAAAAATAATATCGTCATTTATAAAAATATTAGACAAAGAGCAATAAACGATAGAAAAGAAAAGAAAAAGAAAGATCTACTGGGATTTCTTTTTTATATAAGTTATCAATTTTAATTTGTTTTAATTTAAATCATTTTATATGAGGAAATTATTTAAAAAAATTATAATTTAAGTCATTATATATTTCAATAATCAGCCGTTATAATCTTATTACTATTTTTGTATACCTATAAGTATAATTTTAATACCATAATAATACCATAAGATAGAAAGTGAAAATTCTGAAATTAAGACATTGATTTGTTTAAGGTCAAAAGAGAGAATACTGAGGTGGGAAGAACAACATCCGCTGGAACTATAATAACCATAATAATGCCACGTGGTACCATATAGTAGCTTGATTAAACTTTCAAGCACTGCCTTTCTCTTCAGGTGTTTTTTTTAGTTGGTATTACGTTTTTGTTTATATGCAGAGATTTTTTATACAGAGATTTATGCGAAGGTCTTATTTTAACTATGTATTTATTTATACATGCATTGTATTTTATTTTTAATTTTCTTACTGTCGGAGGTCTTTCACGGAAACTGCTCTCAATTTTGACGTTGGAAGCAGCCTACTATCTTACCTCCCCATACCCCATTGCATATGGAAATAGTGTTTTGTTGTTGTTTAGAAGGGATTAATAATTTAAATACATTGATACTTGAATCTATCCTTTACGATCCTACAAATTTACATTAAGTAAGGTTGTAGTATGATTCATACTAGGAATTCAATAACATATTTTGTATAAACTAATTCCGCAGAATGTAAAATGACGTACAACTATATTCCATATTATAATAATCGTTTTAAAAAATTTGAAAGTTCAAGTACTAAACATACATTTGAATATAATTGAATGATTTTTGATGTAATTTATCCGAACCTAAAAAATACCCATAACAGCCAAACGCAACGCAAGCGACAACAAAGCGGCGAATCCACCATCGACATCTTCTGCCTGCTTCACTTTATCATTAATAACTTTCAGTTATTGGTTTTTGATGGAGTAATTAATTAGTTATTTGGTAGGAAGAATAGTAATCCGCTAAATCCTTCCCGAATTTATTCACAGAAGAACCTTAATCAACTCCATTGACATTCCTTCATCCTTTCACTGTTATTTTCAAACCACCTTCTTCACGTTTCCCCCCTCTAAACTTTGACGAGGCACCTTTTGAGTTAAAGTCGATCGTTTAAAACTTTAAAAAACTTTACTTCAACTTTTATTATTGACCGACAAACGTAATGCTTTAATTCCGTTTGAGCAAAAGGGCTTTGTCTCTTCAATCTCTCCTCTCCATGAGCGACTCTAACATCTCTTCCTCTTCCTCTGATTCTGCCTCCATCGCCACCGTCGATCAGGTAGTCCTCAACCGTTCTCCTCCCATTTCTAGTTTAATTCTCTATCCCATTATTCAAAACACTATATCGTTTATCTCATGATGTAATTGTAGTTATATTTCTCGTTGACTTCAACTATTTTATACAAAAATTAATAATCTGAATTCCCAAGTTTCATTTTTAAAAATAAAATAAAATCAGGATCTTTAATTGTTTGATTACGTTGTTTTCTCCTTCTCCTTGTGATTAGTCTTTCTGTTCTGGTTTTCTTATTTAGTTTAGACTTAAAAATTAATGGGTTATGTTGTAAAATTTAACTTCTGGCTTTAAAGTCTCAACTTTTATCAATAAATGGTTCTTCCCCTTTGGATTTGTAAATTTTAATTGTTCAGCCTAAGTTGGAATATGTTAATATTTGGACTTCTTTTTCTTTCTTTTTTGCTTTTCAAAGTCTGACTGAATCACTATGATAAATTCATTCACTCTAAATTTATTTCTTGTTTTGGTTTCAGAATGTAGGGAGGAATGAGAGGATTATAGATGCTGATCAAACATTTTCTCCAGATTTGCGACATTGGCGTGATATTTTCTGGTTAGCTATATTTATAATTCATTTGATTGTGTTAGGGTTCGTGCTCGCTGTTCTTGGACTCAATAGGTTTAGGACAACTGATAGATTAAACATCGATAGATATACCAATCGGTATTGGGAGAATAGTAATGGATTGACGGAGACTTACTGGCCCAAGTATGCTGTTGCTGGTGGGATTGGGACAGTTCTTGGATGTCTTTGGTTGTTGTTGCTTGGTTCTCATGCGAAACAAATGATGAAGGTTTCGGTTCACATTTTGACAACATATCTTGCCGTGATTAGTGTTTTATGTTTCTGGTGCGAGCAGTTTTTCTGGGGCGTGGCATTTTCAGCTGGTGCTGCAGTGCAGTTCTTGTATGTTATATCCGTTATAGACAGGTATGGACTAGAGCCATATATTTTGGTAACCATGAAATGTGTTATCTAGGGTTTATTGTTTGTTGGATGTTGTAAATAGATTAAAGAAACAGGTTACTACTCCTGTTAATCACTGTTCCTGATTCATTTGTTGACCGAAATATTTCCTTGGTTCTGTAGAATTCGCTCCATCTTTTCGGAAAATTGAATAAATTGATTAATTTCTGGTTGTAATGAACATTGGAGTGAAGCAACTTAATGGTTCTATTGAGATTTGAAGTAACATTTTTTACAAATTGATTTATTTTTGATGGCATGTATTGGCAACAAGAAGGTAATTCTAAAATTATACTGGAGCCGTGATTAGTATTTTACTGTCGAGAAACCTGTAGCAGAATCAGGAGAAGGGATTGCGTCCTTACTACATATACACAAAGAGGACCGATTTATCACATAGAAATTGAAATTATGGTCAAGGCTCATCATTTATAAAGCAGTCTTAGTAGGTCAATTTCAAATGTCCACTCAACCAAGCGATCTATTTGCCTATAGAAAACATTTTATGGTTATAAGTTGTTTTCTCAAGTTTCCATTCCATTCAACAAACTAGGCATGAATATGCTATCTTCCTTGAAGTCATTATACTGGAGAATCGTTAGCCTGCTTATATCAAGCCTAGGTTTCTAGATCTCTGTTAGTTTCAATGTGGTCAGGATTAGATAATTCTGGATTGGAGTAATTGGATCTTATGAAGTCTGCTTCTACCGGGTCTTTTTCTTTTTCTTTTGATAGACTTCCATTCACCATGCTGGTCTTGCAAAAAGCTGTCAAATTGGTATGGAGTCTTCCTGAAGTTACTCGAGTAGCATATGCATTTATGGCTGTCATGATTTTATGGATGGGCATATGGTCTTTTGGAATATCCGGTGTTGTGGCTTCAAGCAGGGGTGACCTTGGACGCTGGTGGCTTCTTGTGGTGAGCTGGCAAGTTTTGCCCTTGATTCCTTATGTTGTTACTGCAATGAGAGTTGCAGGAGATTGCTATTAGAAAAATGTTCGATTAAATCTTAACAAAACTAGTAATGTGCCTTGATACTTGCAGGTTCTCTCCATAAGCTTATTTTGGACTGGTGCTGTCCTTTGCAATACTGTACATGTTATAGTGTCTGGGCTTGTGTTTCTTGTTCTTATTCATGGTGGTCGAAATGCTTCATCAATGCCTCCTAACTCGTTGATGAAATCTCTACGTTATGCTGTAACAACATCTTTTGGAAGCATTTGCTACGGGTCACTTTTCACAGCTGCTATTCGGACTCTGCGATGGGAGGTAAGCTCACCAGCATTTGCTTTTTCCAACCAGTTCTCTGTTTTTATTCTCAAGATTCAAATGAACACTTTCTTTTTTCAATACTTAATTTGAAACCGCTTTTTAGATCAGGGGATTCCGGTCAAAAATTGGAAACAATGAGTGCTTGCTTTGCTGTGTTGACTTTTTGTTTCAACTCGTAGAGACCCTTGTTCGATTTTTCAACAAGTATGCATATGTCCAGGTAGTTTTTTTTACACCCTTCTCTTGGTAATTTCTCATGTGTATGAGAACTAATTCTTTTGAACACATGTAGCAACATTACATTCCATGATTTTAGCCATTTTAATTTAGCATAGATATTGATTTGTTGATGGTACTCGTGTAATTTTAGGAGCACATCAGATATTGTAGTGAAGGTTTTAGGTCAATTTTTTGTATGAGATTCTTCCTATATTAGATTTGTCCGTTCATCTCATGAATTTTCCAGGCACTAGAATTTTTCTTTTCCTCCTGTAGTTGGATTGGGGGATAACATGCTTAGTCACAAAGACTTTTTTCTTAGAAAGAAATTGAACAGTTGTTTTGTTACACTACTATAGTATGGTTCTGCATGCTCTGTGCATACCAGATAGCTATTTACGGAAAAGGTTTTAACCGATCGGCAAGAGACGCCTGGGAGTTATTCCAGTCAACAGGAGTTGAAGCACTAGTTGCCTATGATTGTTCCGGTGCCGTTCTGCTGATGGGTACTATCTTGGGTGGGCTTATCACCGGTACTTTTGCTGGTGTTTGGACTTGGATTACATTGAAGGACAGAGTCATCATGGTGGGATCCACTGCAATGTTGATGGGAATGGTCTTGGTTAGTGTGTTTTCTGTTCTTCAGTTATATTGATCCCTATTGGTAAAAGTGACCTTATCTGTTTAGACATATTGACCCCTTTTTCTTTCTAAAGTAGGCAGTCTCTTCTAGGTGTCATTTGGCAGTTTTGTCTGTTACTCTTATAAGATGGCAGTCATTTTCAGTATAAAAAATATTGCATACTAATCAATGGAAAATTTCAGCACAAATTATTAGTATTTATGCACAAATTACTGCTAATAATCAATCTTTGGGATCAGTTATATTGCTACTTTCTTTCTTATTTGAAGATTAAGGTAGGGGAAATGGTTGCTGCAGGTGGGACTTGCAATGGTGGTTGTCGAAAGCGCTGTTACGTCTATATGCATCTGTTATGCAGAAGACCCTTCCTTGATTCGAAGATGGGATCCTCACTTCTTTAACCAAATGTCGGAGACGCTGCACCAGCGTCTTCAACATAGGAGTTCTCGAGCCAGGGAAGTATTGAGTCACAACCAGCTTAACAGCCACAACCAAGACACATTCCATCTTTGACAACTCTGACCTATATCAACTGTAATTCATACTCTAAATCACTATTCCAAATATAATAAACTTCTTTTTACAATATTTGCCAATCTTTTTAATCTTTAATCTTTGTTTCAAGTTCGAGTTCATTGGGATTTGTAGAGACATTGGTCCATTGCTGAAGCATATTGACTAAAGATAGGTCTGGATAAATACGGGTAACTCCTGGGTTAACGTACCTACACCATTCTGCATAAAAGGTTTTCTATTAAACCAAATAGCCCAAAGCACGACCAAGAGCATACAAAACCCCTCAACGCTCATTATTGGTAATAAAGATGCCATTCACATTATTGTACAAAAACTTATAAAATATTTGCTAAAAGGATCATAGAAGAAGCATTAAATATATTGGTTATTACCTCTCTTCATAAATGTTTCTCTCTGTTTTCTTTCGCTCTCATTAATTCTTAAGACTGTATAATCGCCATCAACATCATGGGACTGCATATTTTTGGATAAGCAAGGTTCTTGCTGGAACGGTTTGATTTTTCTCCATCCATTAATCCCCAGGGAGTAAAAGGAAACACCCAAGTTTATACATGATTAGATATGCAAACTAAAAGAATTCTTCTTCAACTGCTGCATAGATTTGAACAATGGAAGCCGAGGTTAAATTTGAAGGCATTATTCACATAATTCCACACATAAATCTGGTCTCTCACGAGACAGTCAAATCGCAAACATGGATCCCCCACCATGAAAAGATTTTGCTGTTCCAACTTCGTAGTTAAAGAAGTGCATCAAAAACATAATCCCACACAACTAAGGCACCTCAATAACTGTATGATTGCCGTATCAGATAGCGTCATAAATTCACAATATTTTGCTTTTACTCTTTATCTCTGTCACAATGTCAGAAGAACCCAGAAATCACCTTAATATTAGTTAATGAGAGACATTATTATGTTTTTTTTTCAGTCGATGACTTAATGAAAAGAAACTAATAAAATAAGCCTGCTCTGCTCTTCTGCCTTTTAAATGGGGTGGAAATTAAATCTCCATGTTTATTACTGGATGAGAAAAAGAAAAGACGATGAAGAAGAAATTAAATTATTGGATGGCATCTCATCACCGTCACATCTTTTAGCCGCGAAGACACACTTTCCCAGGGGAGCTATTAAGAGTAGAGAGAATATAGTAATATAAGAAAAAGAATCCAAACCCTAGGCTCCTCTCTGTGCCTACTTACGAAAACAACCGTAGCAGAGAGAGAAAGAGATGATAAGACAAAAGGGTTTTTGGCTTTTGGGACGGAGGGTGTTATTGTCTTGGACACTGTGCTTCTTTACTACTCACTCGTATGTGCAGAGCGTGTAAAAACGAAGAAGCAAATCACCGAACTACACTAAAATGCATGCATGTAAATATTGGTTCTATTCACCTATGAAATTAAGCATTATGAATGGATTAAAAACAGAGAAAAATGAACTGAAATTAAGACATTATATAGAAAGGGAGAGTGGAACAAACGCACAGCAAGCAGAGAATGAAGAAATAATGCAAGGAAAAAAAAACAGTAGAGGTTTATTGGGAAGCTATAGTGCCTACTCTGAGAACGCAATATTTAAAAGCCTTGCTTTCCTCTCCATTAAAGATCTATTTTTCTCCCGCTTCTGTCAAGTTTTCTCTCTCAACCTTTCTTTCTTAGGAACGCAACAGACTCTCACTTTATAGTAAAAGAAAAGAAAAGAGAAAATGCAGAGCTTCAAAGCTGCAGCAACAACAGCTAACCCAGACATGTTTTGCCACTCTTCCTTTTTTCTCAGGTATATATACTTTTACTTGAAGTCATGATTTTGGGTTTTCCTTTTCTTCTTTTGGTGTTGGAACTGCATTCTTGGCTTACAAGGCAATGATTATAGTTTTTTTATGTACGTATGAGAAAAGAGAGGTGACTGATTTTTTTTATTTGATCTGTTGGAGTACAAATAAAGAAGCAAACTTTGTTGTTCTTACTATTTCGGTGTTTGTTTCAATCGAAAAACAGAGGAGACGATTGTAATAGTTGCCACCAGACGCGTTTACCGGATCTTGGAGAGCTTGATCATCCTGCTGTTGCTTTTCATCACGATGATGCTGTTGATTTAAGCTCAAGTATCGTAAAAATATATGTTTTCCCTCTGTTTCTAAAGCCTATCTAACCATTTTCTCTGTTTATATAATTCCTTGTAGGCTCCTTTTTTAGTTTAAAACCCAGCAATGTTGCTAACAACTTGCACTATGGCGCATTGAACACGGTACTCAACCCTTCTACCAACCTCACTCTTTCAACGTAAGTTTTTTCCTGTTTATATTTCGTCATAGTTTTGATGTTCTTTTGCAAATGGTTTTGCTTTCAGAGCATCGGTGCAACCGAGATAATATCCAGTGGAATCAGGTGTTTGGATACAGGGCAGTTCATGTACCAGAAGGGGCCAACATTTGGTGCCTCGTTGGGGAATGAACATATCGAAAACTGGGCTGATCCTGGCCTTGCCGATATTTGCCAGCAGACTGTCACTTCAACTGATGTTGACACTGACCATAAAAACCAGGTTTTGTGTCTTCCTTTTCTTCATGTAAAGTTGCGAAGGGAACATCTTTATGATGACGAATTGCTTATGATAAAGAATTGCTCTAAGTTGATTCTTGACGGTCTTATAGGTTCATGGCGTTCAAGATGGACCTATAATGGTGGATTCAGTGGATCAGTCCAAGTCAAAATTTGGTGATCAAAAGGTTTTTTTAAACATTACTGATTTGTTGTGTTATCTATTTGAATGTTTGCCATCTTTACGAATTCTTACTTTTTTGCCGCTTCAGATGCTTCGCAGGCTTGCTCAGAATCGAGAAGCTGCAAGGAAGAGTAGATTGAGGAAAAAGGTACTGTGTATTTTGCTTGTGTATACTATTTTACTTACCTATTCTGGATAAATGAAGCATGCTTGTATCATTTATAGGTTTTGTTTTTTGAACAGGCATATGTCCAGCAGCTCGAGAATAATCGACATAGGCTCACGGAGCTAGAGCAAGAGCTTCAAATGGCAAGACAGCAGGTATGAAAATGTATCTCTTTATCTCTGGTTCAGGATGCACCTTCTCTTCATTCTAAGGTATTTTTTTGTTCTTAATTCGCTTTTGTTCTAACGCAGGGTTCTTTTATCACGACGAGACGTTCGGGGGACCATGGTCATTCAGCTATGGGAAATAGTGAGGAGACTTTAGATGTTGTTTTTGTGGCTTCCGTTTGTCAACAGATGGTGTGTAGATTACTGTAATTAGATCTTACTCATTTTTATGCTCCCAGCGGCTCTGGCGTTTGACATGGAATATGGTTGCTGGCTCAATGAACATCAACGACTGATAAATGACCTAAGATCGGCAGTGAATTCAAATATCGGGGATAGTGAATTATGCATTCTTGTAGGGGGTGTCATGGCACATTATGATGAAGTTTTCAGGTTGAAAAGCATTGGTACCAAGGCAGATGTATTTCACATGCTCTCTGGTATGTGGAAAACACCTGCAGAGAGGTGTTTTATGTGGTTGGGAGGATTTCGTTCATCTGAACTTCTAAAGGTGATTTACTATCGGATAATTCGATACTATTAACATGACGTGTTTTTGAGAAATATCTGTTTTGTTTGATGACATTTTGATCTTGGAACTTAGATCCTCGGAAACCACCTAGAGCCTTTGACAGACCAACAATTGATGGGCATATGTAATCTGCAGCAGTCTTGTCAACAGGCTGAGGATGCCTTATCACAAGGAATGGAAGCTTTGCAGCAATCTCTTGTAGACACCCTCTCGTCCACATGTTTAGGTCCTGCTGCTCCCGGAAACGTTGCAGATTACATGGGCCAGATGGCAATCGCAATGGGAAAAATTGTCACATTGGAGAACTTCCTACACCAGGTAAATGACAATTTATCTCGCCCATCATGCAACTTTGAAGTTAAGTGCTCATACAGTTATTTACCAGTGTCACGTTTCGATTTCCAGGCCGACCTTTTAAGACAGCAAACTTTACAACAAATGCATCGAATTTTAACCACTCGACAAGCAGCCCTGGCCCTACTAGTTATTAGTGATTACACTTCAAGACTCAGGGCTCTTAGCTCTTTATGGTTAGCCCGACCTAGAAACTGATTCTTTCATTCCATGCAAGCTCATCTCGATTTCATCAATGCTTTGCACAAAACATTTTCCTCCATTTCACCAGGTGAAGCATGCATTGCACTCACTGGCCTATAGAAATGGCAGTAATTCAGTTAAATGCTGTATATTAAGTAGGCTCTGAGCAATTTGTTGTTATTGTAGTTGGTGTAATCTCACATGTGAGGCAATATTCTGTAAACTTCGACAATGTTGTGCTAACTTAAGATAGTTCAATGCTTCAAAGTGATTATGCGAAACATGTTCGTTGTTCCTTGTATTACAAATCATGTAATCTTTCTATCAGAATTGAAAACGTCGAACATTACATGATCTAATGTAATCAATGATAGTTATTTACAGCATTCCTAAGAAATAAAATATTTGAAGCAACATGTTAAATTCTTGCTTGTTCACGATTGTTTGGTCTCGACTGGCCTGTAAACTCTTCTCCGATTCACCCTTCCTGAAAGTTACCAGGTAAATATGTTATTCACTGAAATCTGCAGAAAGTTGAATATAGATTATTTACATCTGCTTTTATATTGTGTCCAGTTTGTGAATACCTGGCCTGTGGCGTCTTGTGGATTTGTTGATGTGGGGAATGAAAACTCCGGTTCCATTGCCGGTTCTCCATAGATTCACAAGCCAAGTCGGTACCGAGTCTGTATTCTCGGTATCCGGCCAATTGAAATACCTTCCATGTTGTAAAGAAGATAGATTCCCAAGCGCTCTTCTTGTCCCCGGCTTGTTAGCGACAGAGCTCACGGAATCGATAACATCGGTTTCTTGATGATCCTCGTCGTCTGCTGTCAAAACTAGAATCTGTCTTCGAATCTCATCGAAGAGAACATCGTCTTCGTCAATCCCTTGGTATTCGTAAACGGACTCGATGTTGTTCACGTCCATGGTGGTAAGAAAAAACTCGGAACGGGAGAAGCTTGGGTTTCCATTTCCATGGTTGGGGCAATTTAAAGAAGAATGTGGAGGAGAAAGTACATGGTTCAGCGTCAAGGAAACCCGACGACTTCCAAATGTCTCACTTTTTGTACGTTAGTTTAGTTGGTGCATTGTCTCTTATGAAAATCTTCAAGGAGCGGTTTGTGTTGTCAAACTAAGTGGATTAGGACCTTTAGTTTTTTGAATTTAGAATCATTTTACTTCCATAAACCATTCGATTTTTTGGTCAAAAATAATAATTTAATGTCTCATTTAGGCTTTAAAATGAGAGGTAAACAATAATTAAGGGTATCAAAATATTAACTGAGTTGTTGGACCATAAAAACATTACTACTTGGGGGGACCCAAAAGTTGATCAACCCCTTGGACCTACCCTCTAAACTATAAGGTGGGTTTGAATCTTGATAATTATAAATAAAGTAAATCGAGTTGAGAGGATCTTCGCAAAATAAATTTTAGATTAGTCGATCAATAGATAAGATAAAAATGAGTAGAGGAAAAAAGGGTTTTGGTTTTTTAGGATGAATTACATTATTAATCATAAATTAATTATTATTTTTCTATTTTGATTATTGAACTATTTTTTTTGACAAACATGCCACCGATATTACATTTTTTTTATATTTAGGTCATCGATCGTTAATTCTTAACGGTGATATAAATACAATGCTATTTATATCATTTTCTTTCTTCTCATCAATTGTTTATATATCATTTCTGATAATTCTATTGAAATTAATTAAGTAATGACCCGTGACCTTATTCAATTAAAATAAAATAAAAAATTAACTTTTGGGAGGCTTGAATTAGTTTCATTTTCACCCTCCATTTTTCTCCACCACATTACTTTGCTCTTCAATGGTCTCTACAGTATACACCGTCATCAACCTTTGGACTCTTTTTACCTTCAATTGTGTTTCCATTGCAGGCCTGTAAATCAAGATAGTTTCTTTAAAAATAAATTATGTTAAGGATGTAAATTTTGGTTACATTGCATTTATTGCGATTGCGGTTATAATAGATGCTATTGTGGTAATTACAGGCAAGTAGGACGTGCAAAAAAGATTTTAAACGACATCTTTATCTCTATATAACAGTTGTTATTTCGATAACGAATCGCTATTTAAATCTCTGATTTATATTTAACATTTATGTTAAATGCATTCAGATTTGGTACATGGTATCCTCTAAATATATCATGCTAAACACATACCAACCCAATAAGCATCCTAAATTGGGATAGCATGGCAAAACCATCTTTCCTCTTTCTTTTCTCCATCAACTTTATCTTCTATAATGCCTGAATCAACCCTTTCGATAACATCCTCTTTAGGTTCATAAGTCAGGTTATATTCCTTAATTGTATTTGGAGCATCTCCAATGTTCGTGTAAATGTTAGGCTGAACAATTGTTGACTTGGTTACAGTAACTTTAGCTGCCAACCAGCTAAACTTATCAATTCCTAGGCCCAACTCAGTGGCCCAATGGTGGACCCCTTGTCTAATGGGTTATGGGTTTAGTTTCCCCAAAGCCAAAATTTATTTATTTTTTGATAAATTAATTTTTATTTTAATTAAATAAGATGGTGGCATATGTTATCAATTTATTTATTTGAATAAAATCATGAAAAAAATGAGAGGAAAAATTATGTAAAATAATAAAATAAAGAATTCATGTCAGTATTATCTTCAAATTTTTAATGATCGATGACCAAAGTAGAAAAAAAAACGTAATGGTAGTACTGTTTTCACCGAAAAAATAGTTCGATGACCAAAATAAGAGAGTGATGGTAGATTGGTAACTAATGACATAGTTTACCCTATTTTTTTAAATATATTCAAAATATTGTTGATTTATTGTTGTAATTATTTATAATCTTTTTATTCATTAACTTATATATTTGTAATTAATTTTTAATATTGTTATCAAGATTCAATTTAGCAAAAGTTTGTGTTCCTTCCTATACGTAATCTATTATGATTTGATTTTAAATTAGGTATAATGATAAAATAAATTGTATGTAAAGTTTATTAAACAATCATTTTAATTTTTATCTTTTTTTGAGTATTTTGATCCTCAACGTTTTATTTTGGACAAAATATTTTTTTTAGATGAAAATCGTTAGTCAACAAACGAACAACACTCTAAAATATGAGTTTTTTAACACGAAAATGAAATATTAAGGCCAAGATGCTCCATAAAAAAGAATAAGGGCTAACATAACTATTTGGTTAAACGATCGAATATTTTTTTCCTAAATAAAATGTTGAGGGGACAAAACGTTCCAAAAAATAATATAGACGAAAAACAACTATTTAATCAAATGTTAGGATTTTTATTATTATATATTTAAATTATTTAAATAATCTATTATAATAATTAAGTGGGTAAACTTAGTATTCTACTCGTCACCGCATCAGTTATACATTTTTTTAAATTATCTCTTAATATTTGACAACATAATCGTTTAGACTATTTTTTTTAAAGCAAATTGGTCCTTAAAACTTCATTTTAGGGTAAAATATATCTGACTGAATAAAAATCATTAGTTGACAAACGATCAAAGCTTCATGCTAACGTAGCATGTCCACATAGGATGCCACATTAATTTAATGAAGGGCAACTAAAATAAAACTGAACGATAATGTTAATAAAAAAATGTTAATAGTTAAGCAACTAAACAAATAATTTACTTAATTTTTTTATCACTCTTTATTTAAATTCCAACATGGAGGGAATGAAATATATATAAAAACATATATATACTAGATTTTATGACATGTGAAATGTTATTATGAGAAAACTATAAAAATAAACAGAAAATAAATGCCACAAAACATAGTAATTGAATGGAACTTTAAAAAAGAACTAAATATACTTTCAATTAGATTTTTTTATTAATGAAAATTGAATTTATTTCACTAATTGAATTATGTCATTTGATTTATGATACTAATTCAATAAATCATTTTATCATGCCTGGTACCACAATCGGAGGAGTCGCTCCATCTTTCATCCACTTAGCTAAATTGCCCTCCCAACCTATTAAAAATTAAAATGGTAAAAAAATAATGAATTAGAGTTTTAGGATGAAACTGCATCCACAATGGTAAGACAAAAAGGTCGACTCAAATTCGAGATTAAGGTGAAAAATCTTTGACCTTACCCGATTCGAAGTAATTTTTTCATTAAATTCAGAGATATTGCTATAATACTCCGCTTTCTATAATTTTTAATTAGGTTTTTATTTTATCGAATAAAAATAATTTTTATATATTTATGTTGGATACAAATTTTGACTCAGAAAAATTTAGGTTGGATCAAGTTCGAGTGGATGGATATGTTCCTCAGATTCGTTCAAGTAAATTGTATATACTTCTCGAATTTGATCGGATTCAAGTGGAGAATGTATACTTGTTGAATCATATTGGGTTGATAAAAAACTCGAACCAGCTACCATCTCTATGTATACAACGTGGTATTGCCATAAATTACCTAAGGAAGGGTCGGCTCCACGAGTTCGTAGTTCTCGGTGTTCTTGACAAAGAGCGCACCACATGCACAAAACGTGAGTGGCCCAATCCGGAAACGGTGACTCCGGCAACGAGAAGTGTTGCCTCAGCTTCGTCCGGTTTTTCGACCCCAATATCCATCCAAATAGCACGACCCCTGAGGCAACGTGGAGGAGGCTGGCCGATCTGCAGGCTGCTCATGCAACTTATAATAAGGAAAATCATCGCATATTAGATTTATTGCATTAGCAATTCCAAATCCCAACTCAGAGTTGTTAATTACCAGTCATAAAATTTCAAGACCGAAACTTGATCAGATAACCAAAGAGTTTACTTACCTATTTCTCCTCTATTGATAACCTCGGAATTTTGTCCCATAGTGATGCAAGGACATATACCGGTAAACAAACCTTCAACAAAAACACCGAATCCAACACGACAATAAACGAAGAACATGGAACGAAAAGAAAAAAAAGTAAATAATTTTTAAGGGATTTTCTGAATTTACAATTATAAACATCTCCGTAACACTCGCAAATACCGGTTGTCCACAATCCTTCGGGCAAGGGCTTCATGTATGCTCGAGATGACAATGATTCCGGGTCTGGTCTGAAAACTGGGACTGAAACTTCGTGTTTATGAAGAAACATTTCAGCTTTCTGCTGCAAGCAACAACATAAACTCGAAGCGAAAACGGGGATTCTCAAAGCATTGTTGTAATGTTTTCTTCCCTTCCGGAATCTGGGTTTTTGTTTTCTGTTGAGTTTTCACTGTTTGAAATGTTTCCACACTGATTTTATTCTCTCTTTTTTACCTTGATCCTTCAAATTCAAACGATGCTTTGAAACTAGGTATAATTATTTAATGAATTGTACCCTGTTGAAGAAAGCTACCTTGATGATTAGAATTTTGTGTTGAAATGTGAAAGATTTAAGGTTTGTGATTGGTGATGTCAAGGAAAAACTATTCCTTAAGGATTAATGATTTGAAATATGGATGGAATTAAAAGGTTTGTCATTGTGTGCCTTTAATTAGGGTATGAACAAAGGACCTTTGAGATATAATGCGAAGAATTTGCATGACCCCATATGCAAACCTTGGGGACATCTATAATAAGCAGCCTTCCCATCCAACGTAAATTATCCAAGGCCGAATCTAGAGATTTAGATAGATTGTATTCTCTGTCAAAGAAATAGGAAGAAGGCGGTAATGGAAAATAGGATTCTATAAATTAAACTGATATAATATTAAATACGGAGTAACTTATATATATATATATATATATATATAGTGATTCAATAAACCTGTACTAATGTATATTTTGATGCGTGAGGTTGAGACAGATTGAGTTTTGGCAGAGAAATAAAGAATTGGTTATTGGGATTTTTTATCAAACACGTAGAGTGGGCGATGTTATTGAGGGGCAACTCCACTCTCTGTCTATTCTTCAACCAAATTTTCTAAAGTAATGCCTATTTACTTCAACCAAATCTTCAATCAAACACCTATGCCTATTTACTTCCCTCCGTAATGCTTCAATGCCCTTCCCTTTCCACTTGTATTGACTTGAAACATCCTAAAACAAAAAGGAGCTCAGCTCACACTTTAAACTCGCCTAAGTCAGCGGCAGTATGATCATGCAGTGTAGACATAGAATTCGTGGCATAAAGTTAGATGCATCTAATTGTTTTAGTGGGTACTTTCGATGGTAGTGGAGATAAGACGTTGAAATTACCGATGGATGGGGCTGGATTCCAATGTGGAATGATCAATAAATTTATAGCCATGGAATTCTGGAATCCGATCAACAAATATAGAAAGAAAAGTCAGACTTTGAGGCTTCCCTCGACTTCTATTTTAATAATCTTTAATAGAATACCCAAGACCATCTCCATTTAATTAAGGGTTACTTCTACAAATCACCACTCGACTTTTCTCTCTCATATTTTGGTCACCGAGGTTTAATTTCTTTTTAATTTTATAACTAAACTTTTTGATTTTCTCATGCTTTAGTCACTTGGCTGATTATCTATCTAATTATGTGCTTACTTGGATTTTTTTATTAATTTTTATCGAAAGTTTGAAAGAAATTTTGAGACTTTGGTCGAGTTTCTTTGAGAAACTAAATCACAATGCTTGTAGAGGAAGAAAGTGTTGGGAGTGATATGTCAAAAAATGGTGGTTCAATATATTAAAATTTTCGAAAGATAAATTCATAAAGCTTGGAGTGTTTGTCAGATAAACGGATACGAAATTCATGCTCAGCTGGACAAGATGACTTTGATGAAAAAAATTGGGACTCATCGATCTCTAGCGATAATGACGAGTGGTGGTTAGAATGGTGGACATCATGATGGTCGGAATATAAGTTTGATTCAGGATAGGAAGAGAAAGGGAGAGAAAAAAGAAGAAAGAAGAAAGAAGAAGAATAAGAAAGAAGAAAATGATGGAAAAAGAAAAAAAAATTATAGGAGTCATTTTGATTTAAATTTGATTTTATGTAGGGATCCAAAACGATATCGTTTTAGTGTAAATTATTATGTCATAACATTGTTAATTATTTAGCGATAGAGTAACCAACACAAAAGTAATTTAAAAGTCAAGTTATTGTATTAAAAAATTTAAATTTTAATAATCAAAATAGGGGTGAGAACAAAGTTGAGTGATGAAAAAAATAACTTACCCTTTAATTAATCACAACTACTCTTAAATGCCAAAGTAAACATGTTTTTAATATGCAATTAAACCGACCCAAATTTGTTGAATAAAATGTTCTGTAACGTTATTTATTGCATGTTATAACAAAATCTTCAATTAATATAATATATTTCCTAATCTTACAAAGCGTTGCGGCCCTCCAACCCACCAAGATTGAAAGTGCTTTACAACGAAGGTGAGTCAGATCATCCCATAAGATTCACTCGACCCCTACACGCTTTGGTTCCACGTGAAGAAATGTGGCTAGTTCCCAGTTGCCCACTTGGCATCGATTTATGGGACAATCTTCTATATTCTCTCTTTTCATATTATCATCTTGTTTAATTTTCCTATATAACCTATCCAAAATAACAAACAATCCAAATTATAACTTCACTTCCTTTTGATACATAATTTATATGAGAAGAATACGGATGGCTACTACCATTGCTGTGGATCCAAGTTTAAGCATGCAAATTGTGAGAGGCGGCTCGAATCAACACGGTGCTGTGGTTGAAGAAATTCAAGGACTGATTAAAGTGTACAAAGATGGACATACGGAGAGACCACAAATTGTTCCATGTGTTAGCCCGACATTGCCTCCGGTGTTTGGTGTGACGACGAAAGACTTTGTCGTCGACGAGTTCACCGATGTTTGGGCACGTTTTTATGTTCCAAAATCGAACGGGAAGCTCCCTTTGGTCGTTTACTTTCACGGTGGAGGGTTCTGTGTTGGCTCGGCTGCTTGGAGTTGCTACCATGGTTTTCTAGCAAAACTAGCTGCCGAAGCTCGTTGCTTGATCGTCTCGGTTAATTATCGGTTAGCCCCCGAAAACCGACTTCCGGCTGCTTATGAAGATGGGGTCAAGTGTGTTACGTGGCTAAAACATGAAGTTGTAAAAGGGTCAAGTGAATGGTGGTCTAAGCAGTGCGATTTGAGTAGCGTCTTCTTAGTCGGTGATAGTGCTGGTGCCAACATTGCACATAATGTGGCAACGAGACTCTGCTTTGATAATCCTTACCCTTTGATTCTCAAAGGCATTATCTTAATACAACCGTTCTTCGGAGGCGAAACGCGTACTGAATCCGAAAAAAACACGGTCCAATCTCCTCGGTCTTCCCTCAGCTTGTCGGCTTCCGACACATATTGGCGATTGGCATTGCCGTGTGGTGCCAACCGGGACCATCCATGGTGCAATCCGTTGGGAAAAGGGTCGGCGAAAATGGAAGAGACGAGGCTTTTGCCGACCTTAGTGTGCATATCGGAGATGGATATATTGAGGGATCGGAATCTGGAGTTTTGTGGTGCTTTGGCTAAAGCAGGGAAGAAGGTGGAACATGTTTTATATAAAGTTGTTGGCCATGCATTTCAGGTTCTTAGCAAGTCTCAAATCTCACTAACTCGAACCAATGAAATGATTGCTCATATCAAGGCCTTCGTCTCTGCTGATTATTGTCCTCTGTAAATTCATATTGAAACCTGAAGAGCTTTTTTCCTACTTAATTATAGATTTACTAATAATAACCTGAAAATTCATGTCAATGAAATGATTGCTCATATAAATGTTTGATAATAATATTTTAAATAAATAGTATTTTTGTCACCTTTTTAAAGAAAATAATTTTTATTAATAAATATATAATTAACTTTATGTGTAGTTTATTATTTTCCGAATTTGATTGAGGGTCATATATGGGGTTCGATGGATGTAACCAAAAAGGAAAGGCTGATTACAGTGCAGTGGGTACGCACATAAGGTATGGACGAGGGGCCCCTAATTCATAGATAAGAATAACAGCCTTCCTCATTGCTGTGAGTGGTGGATTTAATTATTAGTTCTTCATGAATAAGTAGCTTGTACGTCTTAACCATTGGACATACCAAAAGCTATGTTTCTTTCGTCACATAAATATAAGTAATTTTTTATTTTCATCATTAAAGTTTCAAAAATAACGAAATAATCATTAACACTATTGTTTCTATAATAAATCAATCATTCTATCGTTAACAATAATTAATCGTATATATTCAAGTAAAATATATGTAAATGTTGATTGCCATATTTGTTACGAGTCACTTGCTTGTTAAGTTAAGTCATCATTAAATGATGTTGTTAGTTAAAGGTATCAACGTGATTGATGGAGTAAGAGTGTAAATAAATCGAGTTTGAATGAATAAAGTTACGATTGTGTTTGTTTATTTATTTTTAAAAGTGTTCATGTTCGATTTGTATTTGTTTAAATTTTCAATATAACATTTGTGTTTGCTTATTTATTTTTAAAGGTGTTCGTGTTCTTTCGCTTAGTGTTTGTGAACATGTTCATTTAACGTTCGTGAACATACTCGTTTAACGTTCTTGAACATGTTTATTTAACTTTCATGAGCATGTTTGCTTGATTTTCTTGAGCATGTTCATTTAATGCCCGTTTAACATTAATGGACATGCTTATTTAATGCTAGTAAATATATTTGTTTAACGTTTGTTTAATGTTCATCAACCAACACTCTCTTTTTAGCCATTTCTTTGCAAGCCAAAGAAAAATGATGAAATTACATCAATAATCCTTACTTTTCTTATGTTTCACAATTAGATAATCCAAAATCCACCTTATATTTAATTTAGTCTCTATCTTTACAAATATTTAAAAATTTTAAAAAAAGAAAAGAAAAGGAGATTCGAGTAAATAAGCTTATAAACAAGTCAATAAACGAGTTTGTTCATGAACTTAAACAAATTGGAGACACCTATATTATTATTCATTCATTTATTAAGCAAACATAAAAATTTGTTTGTATTTATTTAACTTTATAAACAAACATTATACGAAATGTTCACAAAGAATACGTGGATCGCTCTATTTATTTATACCCTTAGATGGAGCAAACGTTTTGGAACTTAATTGGACTAAAAGAAAGTTTCAATATGAAAACGAGAAATTAATATATTTTATGAGTTAGTTTTGCGGATAAAGTAAAGTAGCCAGTATCGTATTAATGGGTATATTATATTTTATCAGTACTTAATATTTCGAGATGTATTAATGTATTTTTTTTTTGAATTTATCAATATTTCTTAAAAAAATTAATATATAAAAATATTTATAAATATCAAATAATTAAGATTAAATGAAGTTTAAATATAACATATTCATCTAATAAACTTCGGAAATATAATAATTCAACAAGTTTAAAATAAACAAAGAAAAAAATCAACGTTTTTAGTAACAATAACAAAATTTGAACTTTCTATATCAATATTTATTTTTATAAGTTATACATTAATATTTATATACTATAATTGGCGACCTCTTGATCCAGGTATTGTCAATATTTATGTTAAGTTTGCTCCTCGTGATTGTAATACTGTGGCCCATGAACTGGCTTCGAGGGCTCTTCGTTCTGGACATTCATTGTTTTTTGACTCGATTTGTCCCGAGATAATTTATATGACTATACTGACTGATATTGGTTTAAGTTAATATATGTTTGGATACTTTTCTCCCTACTAGGAATATTAGAGTTTTAGCCGAGGTTCGTTTCTTTTAGAAAAAAATATATAATATAATTAAATTTAGTGAAATATATATTTTTTATATTATAATAAAATTATCTTCTTTTCCATAATAAAAAGTTAAAAAAGTATTTTATTGAAGAGTTCTCGAATCTAAATACAATAAATAAGCATTTTAATCGAAATTATTCACATCCTTACACAATAGAAACTTCTGTCTATGGAGATGTAGTAGATGAAACGCTCAATTTTACAGTGGCATATATAAATAATTTACAAATCAATTCAGTTACAATTGTCTTATATTACAAGCTCGTTCAATCTGAATATGTGTCTTCAAACCCAAAATAACACAGTATTTTGTCCAATTTTTTTGTATATAAATATGGGATGAATACAATATCTGTTCAAAGACTCTCGACCCATTGAATTTTGTCTAAAATTCAAAAAATAAAAATTGCAGATCAGTAAGTAAATAAAAATGAATAAATATATATAATACTTTCGTCAAATGTTTGGTTAATAAATATAAATGGAAGTAGACAGCATATATGGGACCATGTATACATATAAAAGTAGTTTTGGTTAATGAAAGTACCACCACTCTAACCCTGGTTTTAAGGTCTGAGGTCGAGGTTTTGGACAACCTCGTTGATGGTACCTTAATGTTGTGGTCCATGCCTTCATGTTCTTGCTCAAATGAATGTTCCACATTCCCTGCAAAACCAAAAAAAAACATGTTGTTTGTTTGTCCAGAAAGGATCAAGGATTTATGTCTAAAAATTATTAACCTAAATTTTTTTTCTCTTCATGCATGATAAAATAAATCCTAAATGATGATTAAGGCCACCATTTCTAAATTCGAGGATACGTAAATATTAAGATTTAAATCCTAAATATTAATATTAATCTATCGCATGGGCCAAATGAGTTAGACTCCAACTCTCCAAGTTCGATGATTGTATCCTGTTAATTTGATAATTTAGAGGTGGTAAGAAATAAATAAAAATTATTCAGAAATAAATAAAAAATATTCAGTATTATATATATATATATATATATAGGGATATGATATTATTGCACAATGTAAAACTATTTTAGCTTTATATAGATTTAAGATCGTTGGGTTATTAAAAATAGATGACTAAGTAAATAATAGAAAATGAGAAAATATTTATTGAAATTGTTTGGGAACGAGAATATATATATATATATATATATATATACCTGTTGAGTTTGGGAATGAGAAATGTGTAGGGTTTGTGTTCTTTGTTGGTGGGTTGTTTTTAGGGACATACATAGAATTTAATGTTAGCGTAGAGAACTTATAAAATTTTGGGACGAAAATATATTATCAATACAAAATATAAATAAAATACCTAAGTATATGGGAATTTAAAATTTTTAAGGAGACAATTGTCTTGTCAACCTTCCTCGGTCGATCACTGGACTTGCTTCCATACTTCTTCCACCAAGACGACAACATGGTTGAATATAGAGAGGGAATAAGTGTATTTACCGAAAAATCATCCTACTTTTTTTATTTAAGTGTAATATAATTTTTTAGAAAATTTTATCGATCTAGCACTCTTTGCAGAAAGACGCAAATCTTACCCCCACGTGATTCCACATCAGCATCATCCGTTCCTTTTTGGGATGGATGCTAGTTCCATAAAAATTTATGAAACAGTATCTAACATGTAATTAATTTATGTTAGGATGATTTTTGTGTAAAAATGCCACGAAATATTAAGGAAGTAATTGTGTTTTGTTTGTTAGGAAAAAGATAAAATCTAATTAGCTAATCATTTTCATTTATTGTCTTCTAAAAAAATAAGTCCTAGGACCATAAATTATTAAAATAATGAATCAATTATCAAAATAAAAATATAATAATAAAAAATATTTTTTTGAAAAATCAATGATGAAAATAAAATATATTAAAATATTTGGTATAATTATAACTCATATATTTTCAATTATTATATTAAAAATCAATTATAAATTATGATAAAATATTTTTCGTTATTATCATCATCATCGACCAATTAATGGAGTATATATATGAGTTATAATTCAAATTAATCATTTATTTTGCTATTATTCAAATTAATTAAAAAAAATTATGGTAAAATGTTTCTAAAAGAAAAGTATAAATACATACATGAAAATCTAAAGATTTTCCTTTCTTTTGTGTTACTCTCTAAACTTGTAACAAAATTCAATAAAAAAGAAGAAGATAAAACTAAAAAATATCACCTATATATTTAAAATATTCTTTATAATATTAATTTTAAAAAATATAAAATAAATATAAAATAATAATTTTATTAAAAATAAATACACATTATTAATTGTTGTTAAAAATAATAATTAATGAATAATAATTCATTTGATCCCTTAATTGTAATTAAAAGTTTATTTTAATTTTTTTTATATTTTTAAACAAATAATTTTAAAAGTCAATAAATTTTTAAAAAATATATGAAATTTATAATTTTTAAATTATAAAATATTTATCATCATCATCATCTTAAAAAAGAAATACTAGTTATAAAACGTTTATAAAATTATTCATATTTTAAATTACTTACTCTCAAAGTTTTCCTATACTAGACTATACGTATAGGATTTTGAAAGGGTCAAAAAGACATTAGAAAGTGCCAAGTGGTAATTGATATACATAATTGTATTGTGTAATTTCATGCAAAAACCAAATTTGTCGAGTTATAAAATAATTTGAAAAAAAGATTTAAAGATTTTAATACATAAATTTTTTTGCGCAAAAAAATGAAATAAAGTTTACGTTTTTACACAAATATTACTCTAATAAAAATTAATTACCTGTTTTAAGTACCGTTTAAAAAAATTACGAATCTAGCACCCATTCCAGAAAAGCGCGAAATATCTTCTAAAATGATGTCTGACACATAAATAAAAAAATAGGGTGATTT